TTTTTTTACTTTCTTTAATTTTTCCAAATGGCTGTATATATTTAGTTTTTCTACATGGCTATTCGATGTAAGTTTTGTTCCACTGATATCTTTGAAATATCATCGCCTAAATTAGAAAAACGGTTGGTCGCTTTTAAAGTCATGCTTTTGGGACAAAAATTTGCAGATCACATTCTTTCTAATACCACATATGTTTTCATATGTTATCCTCTCTCGTTTGAGTTTCTAAAGCGTTACGCGGCGAATACGATTTAAGATTTTTAATCTATTAAAAATCCCACTTTTACCATAATTTGCGAGTTTTAAATACTGATTCAAAAATAAGAGACTATCAATGGAATGCAAGAATCATTACAGCCAGCGTGACTCGTTCGGGATCTTTTAGAAGGATACGCGTTTGCTACCGCGCCGAAAATTATTCATGACTCAACTTACAATCAATAATATCTCCGATCGACAGGATGTCTATTCAAATCTTGTAAAAAAATTTCCTGAAAATTCCCTGATCTTCCAGGTATTTTTGTTCAAAATTCCAGGTAAAGAAAATATTTTAAAAATTTTTTGGTGCGATTTCCTAAAATAAGTTTTTTTGTTGCACGCGTTTTCTAATATTTTTCACTCATACAAAGGAAAAACGTAAAGCCACTTAAGTTCGAAGTGTTAGATTTACAAATGTACTGAAAAAGAACTAAATAGCTTTTGTTAAGATAATAATTTTAGCTTGATATTTCCATTTTTAATCATTAAATATTAAAGTAAAAAATATATGCTGCATATTCAATATTTTATTAAGCTATTGAATATATAAATATAGATAGGTATATATCTATAATATATTTTAAACACATAATTCATAATTTGGCTTATCGGCGGATTGCCTACTTCTTACAGAATAAGAGCAAAATTATTAAAAAGAGAATTTTTTTTTAAATTCTTTGAGTCCTAATAAAATTCCATGAGAATTCCAGGTTTTCCATGTTTTTCCAGGGAATAGACATCCTGGATTGAAAAAGAGATCGTGCGGTGATCTTGCGACATGAGATGTCGTATGTTTGACGGCATAGTAGCGCGTCTATTCAATATTTCTGGTCAACCCGACCGATTGGTAGCCCGCAATGGCGACGCGGAGAAGTGCAGATAGCCGAGCAACTTATCGGGTCTCCACGATGTTAAGCGTCGCCCACGCGTGTTTTGAGAGAAAGAGAAAAAAAGACAGAGAGAGAAAGAAAGAGAGAGAGAGAGAGAGAGACAGAAATCGCGGCCGACGCAATGGACGAGGCTGTTTGTTGTTATCGCTATCGTTGGCCGAGCAAGAGAAGCTGATACCAGTACACGTGCCACTCTTTGCCTGCGTAAGCCACCGAGGGCTACCAAACAGTATAAAAAACGTCAGCCGCTCCTAGTTTTACCAATTTTCTCAGGAACGGTTACAGATTTTTGTCTCAACAAGATCCCCCACGATATCACTTTCTTTCGCTTTATTAAAAAAAAATCTTTTATCTTATGAGAGAGAAACACGAATATCTCCTCTATACGCTCTAAAAAAGCAGAATGTTTGGCAACTACTGGACTTGTCTTAATCATAAAAGAATTTCATACCAAAGAACATCATTACTTATGAAATAATATATCTAGATTTGCGTTGATCTCTTCGAGAGCTCCATTAACGCCAGCGACATTGCTGCGCCATTGATATCGAGGACGACGAGCTATCCCGATAACTTTTTATCCGTCGTCGTTGTCGATGCCTAAAGAAATTTCGCTGACTCACAGCCATAGCCAGCCGGCTGAGCTTCTTCATCGAGCTCGGGCGCTGAAAAAAAGAGAGCCAAGTTACAATTTACTGCGATAACGCGCTGTATCTCGGTAGGTCGTGACGTAAGGTTATCGTGCGCATGCTTTTCCGTAGTCGGATCGCATTCGGTCTTGGATTTTCAAACAAATTATCATTCGTGACCGGCGCGACGGCTTCATTTTTCAAGCTCTCCGCGCTGCGCAATGTTTGTTAACATTGTCAATTCTACATTGTCCACTCTCTCTTTGCTTAGTACCAGATCTGCTAGTGAAAAGAACTTGAACAAACTGAGCCTACTATATATAATTTGCTTATCGCCGAAGAAAACGCCTAAAAATCGAAGCGTAAAAATAATGCATGTAAATCGTGCAAAATTAATCACCAAAATTCAATTGATATTTAATTTTAGTTAGATTTTAAATTTAAATTTTTTATTTAATTTATCAAAATTTAATTGATATTTTTCACGCCATTTTTCCTTATCTTTGATTTTATGTAAAGTTAACGATACTCAAACAACATTCGAACTAATTTTTTGTTTAATTTTAATTAGATTTGAAATTTTAATTTTTTATCTAATTTTTCATCAAAATTTGATTGATATTTTTCACGACATTGTTCCTTGCCTTTGATTTTATATGAAATTAATTAGACACTTGAACATGAAAAATGAGCATGTAATAAAATCGACGCTTTTATTTAGAAAAGAAATTAATTCACATAGCAACATTCAAATTTACGCTATTAAAAATTATTAAATCATCACGTGCATACATGCATCCGTGTTGAGTGCGCACGTTATTATTTTTCATTTTTTTTTCCATTATATAAAAATTTTAGCTCCGATAAAAGAGCTCTCTCCCTGGTTGCTCTCTCAACATTTCTCAATTATCGCGATCGCATTCAGGTCGCGAATGTACATGAAAAAAGGCAACAAGCAGATTCACGCGCAGGTAGGAGACGTAGGACATCGAGAATTTCTGCAAGAGTCCGTCAGCCGAGCCACATTTCTGGCGACATTCTACTCGTTTTCCGTCCCGGCATCTCGCGACCGCGGATTCCATACACGCGTTATTTACTCCGCAGTTTCGCGAAAATGAGAGGAGAAGAGAGAGAGAGAGAGAGAGAGAGAGAGAAAGAGAGAGAGATGGAGAGAAAAAGAAGGGAAGGCAAGCGCATACACTCTTGTGCAAGATTCGCCGCCAGTGAAAGTCTCTTTGCAGTCCGCAAGAGAGCTCGTTGCCGGACCGCTCTCAAGATGGATAAGGATCTTAAGGATCGATCGCGCACGCTCGCCGCTCTCATGAGAAATTTATCGGCCGATCATATCGGCTGTCCTTTCGCGTATTGTCATGTCGAGAATCGCGATCGATTTTACATACGGGAATTCGCGAAAATCTTTCACGTAATCGTTATTTTCCCCGGAATTATAAGACAAGATTTGCAAATAATTCAGCGATCTATTACCAATAGTATCATAACGTCGGGAATGAGTCACATGTTGGCAATTTTAGAATTTTCCGCAAAAATTACGATCCCCGATTCGCGAATAATTCGCGATGCTTCTCTTAAGCTTTAACGAGCCTATTACCGCACGCGACGGCGGCTCGTTGCGATAGGATAGCAGAATGTGCGGAATAGACACACGCTCCGAGGAAGGCACATTCCTGCAATACTTTTGTTCCGAGACTTGATCCCCGTTACATAAGGAACAACAACGTAAAGCACCTAAAGATTACGTCGTGCTATGCGAAGCGGAGCTGGGGTAGAATTAGCGATTCCGATCACGTCCCTTGCGGCGGTTAGGATGATACGATCGTTCTACGTCAACTTTACTCCACGTCATATAGCGGATTGTCTCCTTTACGTTTATTAGTTGTGACTCTGCGACAGGAAAATTGCCTCTGTTCATTATAAGCAAAATTTTCGACGGAAAACGTGTAAAGATCATTGCGGATTTCTGGGAAATTTAAAACTATTTAAAAACTTTGTGGATAGATTTTTAAAAAGATTCTTTTATAATCAACAACTTTCAAATATACCATCAATAAATCTTTCTTTAAAAAATTGTTTTAAAAATCCTTTTAAAACCTTTTTTAAACTCTTTTTATTATATATATTTTATCTCTTATATATATATGTTTTGAAAAAAATTTTTTTTTGTTTTTAAAAAGGTTTTTTAGAAAAAGAAACATTTACACCGAAGGTGTGCTCGAGAGTTGTTGGTTTTGAAATATTTATGATGCAAGAGAAATATCAAAAATGAAAAGTACATAGATAAATAAATTGAAAAATATCGAGAGAAAGAGAGAGATGGAGGGAGAGGGAGACGACGAGAGAAGGCAGCTCGTAATTTATGTCTACGCAACATCGGCGGGTGCGTTGAACACTTGAAACACACAGCAGTTGCTCGGATTGGCCGCCTTCGGATACCTTATAGGGTCGGGCACATGCGCGCTGCGGCTTACGACATCCATCAGAGACGACCGGCTACCACCATCGCCGGTGTATTATTCTCTTTCTCTCTTGCACGTTTCTTCCCTCTAGTGACAGCGGCGGTTTCAACCCGTCGTCACTTTGCCGGCTTCGTCCGATCGGCTCTCCTTGTTTTCTCTTCGCGTCTCTTTCTCTCGGATCTTTTGTGCCTCCTCTCTTTTCTGTCCCTGCTGGTCCCTTTAATCCTTTTTCACCTTCCTCGTTTTCCTATTTGTCCTGGTATCTTCATCTTGCTTTATTTCTTATCAAATCTTTCTTTTAAACATTTTCTCTCACACATTTTCACTCTCTTAGTATATTTTACCCTGTTGATTCATTCGCTCTTCGGACTTAGCGGTATTTTTTTTAGTTTAATCTATTTTTTTATTGATATTATATATCGTCATTTTTTAAATCATATGTATATTTCACATTCACATATAGAAAGAATATAATTCGCGATAAACTACTCTCAATAATACTAATAGTATTATTATTTAAAAGACAAAATACTCTATGTACCATAGAAAAGTGATTCTTTTACCTACTCTCAATTTTGAGAAAGAAACAACACACGGATTTTTCGAAAAAAAAGTAACCTAAGAAGTTTAAATTTGCATCTTGCTCGTATGCATTGACTTTGGCTTTCGTGACGAAGCACGCATGACGAACACGCGCGCCGATTCGATGCGCCAACTAAAAGTGTCGATATGCCGATTTGTTCCAGCAGCCGCCTAGCACGCAGGAGCGTGGCAGCGGCTTGGCTGTGGGGCGCCAAGGGGGACCCGGAAACGCGGGGGGACCCGGTGCGGTGGACCAGGCGCGAGATCTGAGCCCCTGCCTGCCCGCGTCGATGGGCGATGCCGCGCGACCGACCACTCTACCGTGCAGCCCTCCCGCCGCCCATCATCACGGGCCCCTGCATCAGACCCATTGCGGTACAAACAACAACTGTTACGACAGCTCGACCACCCCTTACGAGTCGCGGGACTACGATTCTCCCGGAGGTACGATTATTTGTCAAAAGGGAAAAAACAAGAGGGAGGAAGAAGGGAAGAGGGTATCCTAAAATTTAATTATATCACATTTTAAGAGAAAAATAGATTTGCAAATTTAACGAAGAATTTGTCTTCTAAGTTTTTCATTTCGATCTGAAGTTTTCTGCTAATCTCTACGGGTGGCGAGTATTATTCTGACATATCTTGGCTGTGGGGCGCCAAGGGGGACCCGGAAACGCGGGGGGACCCGGTGCGGTGGACCAGGCGCGAGATCTGAGCCCCTGCCTGCCCGCGTCGATGGGCGATGCCGCGCGACCGACCACTCTACCGTGCAGCCCTCCCGCCGCCCATCATCACGGGCCCCTGCATCAGACCCATTGCGGTACAAACAACAACTGTTACGACAGCTCGACCACCCCTTACGAGTCGCGGGACTACGATTCTCCCGGAGGTACGATTATTTGTCAAAAGGGAAAAAACAAGAGGGAGGAAGAAGGGAAGAGGGTATCCTAAAATTTAATTATATCACATTTTAAGAGAAAAATAGATTTGCAAATTTAATGAAGATTTGTCTTCTAAGTTTTTCATTTTGATCTGAAGTTTTCTGCTAATCTCTACGGGTGGCGAGTATTATTCTGACATATCGTTACAGCGGGCAGACAAGAGTACAGAGGTGGTAACTTTGAGAACGCGAGTGACCTGAGCATGCCATCGCAGACCGCGCACCACCACCACCATCATCATCACCACCATCATCCCCATCTGCAGACGCAGGAGCAACAAACCACGACGGAGCACTTACATGCTGTTCCCAAGCTCGAGCCGCCGCCCACGCCGCCCGCGCAATCCGAGGACGTTCCCGGGGTAGTCTGTGCGGGATGTGGCCTCAGAATATCCGACAGGTTCTATCTTCAGGCGGTCGACAGGCGGTGGCACGCCGCGTGTCTCCAGTGCTCGCACTGTCGTCAGGGTCTCGACGGAGAGATCACGTGCTTCAGTCGTGACGGGAACATCTATTGCAAGAAGGATTATTATCGGTGAGCAAGCATTTAGATTTACAGAATTAACAACCTTATCTTTGCGATTAGTTCTCTTATTTTGTGACGTAAGAGGAGAACAGATTTCAATAACCGAAGCTAATCTTAGAGCCAGGATTGACGCAATCGATTTTTTATAAGATAAAAATGTTGGCCGAGTATGCATAAATCGATCGACATTCAAATACTGAAAGAAGATACGAAATTGCTGCTTGATAATGTTTGATATTTCATTGAAATGCTAGTTGGCGAGCAATCTCATCGACTGCTCGGCAATTTCGTCCTATGTCGTCCTATTTCGACGAGACGAGGCCGCGGCTTGTTACGAAAACAGTCATAGTGTTCACGCGAGCAAGTCAAGCGCGAAGTAATTTCTGCGATTCCAGGGTCGAGAATCCAAAGAGTTGTTCTGAAAATGCGTCGCGTCGCCTCTTGCGTAATTCGCGTTCCTACGTTCGTCATTTCGCTCGTTATACGAATACTCGCAAATAGCTAAAAATTGCGCTGATGGAACTGCATTATGAAGGATAATGCAAAACGCAATCTTTGAGCTGATTTGTTTCGCACAAAGTTGTTTTTCTCCGAAGAAGAAATACGTGATGCTTGAGAAATTTTTTTTCTAATTTTTGCAAAATATATATATTAAATATATGTATATATATATATATATATAACCTTCTCAAAAAAAAAGAAAGAATAAAAAATTAGCTATAAGAATTTCGAGTAACTTTAATTTTCATTTATGGGAATAGTTTTTACACTATTAGGTATCAGTGAACACTGTAAAAAAAATTGACTGAAACTTCAAACACAAAATGCCTGCAGCTTTTGTGCAGATACTGTCTGAATTTTGGCAAAATGCTGTCTGAATTTTCAGACACATTTCAATTTCAGGTAAACTCTTCTGAACTTTCAGAAAAACTTTGATGATTAAGACAGGTTGTCTGAAAATGTTTTCAGAAACGCAGATCTGAAAATTCAGACAAAAATGTGTCTAAATTTTTAGGAAATTTTTTACAGTGAAAGTTTTGTCAGGTTTCCGAAGTCGTTTGATAACTAATCTTAAGATCGAGGACCAAATAGTTTTTGTGAAATCTTAAATAGTTTCAATTTATACGTATGATTCTTATACACAATGAAAGTATATATAACTTTTGTCAGTCTTTCGAAAGTATTTGATGAATAACGTAAAACGAGCCAAGGCCAAATGCAGTTCGTATTGACAGCCGCTCGAGACGCATTTTATGCAGGGCCGTAACAGAAGGCCGATTGGCGTCGTGTTGGGGTCCTGCCGGGCCTCACACAGTGTCGACTGTATGTATTATACGTTGTCGCTTCTCGTAAGTACGGGCCAGCCTATACGTAGTCTGTTCCGCGGACTAATGGTCACGACTCGACCATTTACCTCCGGCGGAGCGTTGATTGTCGATAAGTAAATCACCATCGATCTACATTCGGGGGAAGAAGGGGAATGTGGATGTTGCATACGAGTCGCATATTCGGTGTCATTCCAAGTGCACTCGATCCCAAGTCATTCCCAAATGATTTCGTTAGACTACTTAGTGATTATCGATTTCTCCAGCTGTTTTCTTTTTTTGTTCGTTTTTGTTGAGTGTTTGAAAAAATAATTCAAAGTCTTTACATAATAATTAAAAATATTTCTCCTTTTAAATTATTAAGATCGTCTCGTGCGGAGTAATTGCAAATAGAAATGATTAAACAGATAATATTATCTAGTCAGAATACATATATCATCTAATCTGACTATATGCGGTACGCTTCGTAATGACGCTACAGAGATGTTGCAAGATTTTAATTCTCTGCCGTTTATAAATTACGACAGTTGAAGAGAAAGCACCAGACTCCTTGTACATTATATAGATTTAATTTTGGTGTCCGCCATTGCGGCGTCGTCACGCCACGAGCTCATCAATTATGTGGCTTCATCGGTGTCTCCTTAATGTCTTATCGTCTTAAAATCGTCGCGAACGAACATAACTCGGCCGCTCGTTCCGTCGCAATTTCGGGAACTGCCTCTTCCCTTCCTCATACTGCGCCTCTCCCAAAATCGCATTAGCCGATCTTAGAGAGGGTGAACCCGAGATCCTGGGATAAGCAGCTGGTTTCGTCGGACGCGTGCTCGTTCGTCGCTGTCGCCGAGAGGCGAGGACGGAAGAAGGACAAGAGTCGCATGCGTGCAGTTTGAGAAACTAAATTAGCCAGCGCTCGTCACTTTCGGCGACTCGGTTCGTTAGGTAACCGATGTGATCTTAATAGCGTAATAACGTAAATAAATATATAATAAGTTTTATTTGCGTGAGATAGAGAGAGAGAGAGAGAGAGAGAAGGAGGCAAACAAAGATAGAGTGTGATTTGCGAAAGAGACATCAGATTTGTTGAATTATAAAGTTACTCATCCCTCAAATTTCGTCAACACTAATTTCATTGGTAATACACTGTAAAAAAATTGACTGAAGTTCCAGACAAAATGTCTGCAGCTTTTTTACAGACACACTGTTGGAACTTTCAGACGGAATGCTGTCTGAATGTTTAGACAAAATGCTGTCTGAATTTTCAGATAAATTTTAATTTTCAGACAAACTTCTCTGAACTTTTGGAAAAACGATTCTGATGATTAAGACAGATTGTCTGAAACTTCTTTCAGACACTCAGATCTGAACGTTCAGACAAAAATGTATCTAAACTCGTGTAAATTTTTTTACAGTGTAATAACGCGATGCAATGACAACTCTGACGTTTTACTTTTCCAATTTCGCGCAATTTCGTCTCTCGCATTAGCTTCATCCGATTCTTCGATGTGTACTCGGAAAGACGCTTTCTGTCATCAAGATTTCGTACGTTTTCTCATTCGGATTCGGGGGATACGGGAGTTCTCGCGCGTTCACACGTCGCGCACTCGTGCACGCCAACTCCGCTGTCATATGAAGCCGAGAATGGAATAGCATAGACATCCCGTCACGACACGGTTTTAGCCCAAAGCCTTGTGTCTTATCTCGCCGCTTCGCATGCGCGCTCGTGTGTGTTTGCGACGACTAGTTATTAGTCGAGAATGTCAACTCGTTTCTGCCATAATATCTGTTTGAATATTTCGAAGGAAGGGGGCGATTAATGATTTACATTATTGTATATGACATTCATTTATTGAAAATCTGTTTAAAAACAAGATCTTTTTAAAAAGAAGCTTGAAAAAATGTGAAATTTTCGAGAAAAGCCTTTCACATCTTGACTTTAATGATAAACATACAGAGGCAGGATCACTGTGCCATCCTCTATTTCCAGAGGTTGGCGCCATGCGTGTCGACAGCTTTTAAAAGACTCTTAACGAGTCATTCTTTCCGAGAGAAGAATGCGAATATCGCCGCATATTACATGTCGAAAGTACCTCGTCACCTCGCGTGTTACCTCGGCCCGCCCGGGTGGCTTCGTCGTCAAAATTGCCTGCCCGTAAAGAGATCGTTGCACGCCGAGGAAGCAAGAGCTTCCTGAACTCAACTCCGTTTCTTTCTTCCTTCTTCCTTTTTGTTTCTCTCCGCTGCTTCTCTCTGCCTTCTTCCTCTTCTTGCTGTATATTTTTCTTGAGCGCGCGCCCTCGTCGTGCTTCGATCCGCGTCGCTCGCGAGATGTACATTTGCTGTTAATCGAGCCGTGAATGGCAAAACACAGAGTTGCAAAAATTCGCATATCCGAAGATGTAATAAACACATTGAAATTGAAATACAAAGAAGGATCTAAAATTTTTATGTTACTGTGGACTTCCGGTTTCAGTGTCGCAAAATCAAAAAAAGCGTGTTTCATAAAGGGACAAACTTTAGATATACAAATTTCGAAAATTTTAAGAAAATATGAATATTTCAGAGTCTCTGAATAAATATAAAAATGTTGAAAATTTATCGATTCGTATCGAATTTAAGGATCTCAAACACATAAAAGGAGAACAGTATAATAATTTACAAAAAATATACAAAGTAAAGTCTCGAAAACGCAAAAAAGTTCAAAAGCTTCCGTATCGTAGATCCAAATAGCAAGGTGACATCAAACGATATCTTAATAAGATCTTAATGACGTTTCTAACGTCAATTAAAACGTCATTTAACGTCACTTTGCTACTTGGGGAGCAGTGCGGGATCAGAAGAACAGACTCGCGATGATTCCGAGTGGTGAGGGATCGAATTTGCCGGAATGTAGATCTATTGCGTTATGAATAGCCGTTCGAGCGATCGTTGCTGCAAAATAAAGTACAGCACTTTTTTTGCCACCGGTTATTTATCGCGGCCGCGTTCGCAATCACGTGGGACGCCGGACACGCATAATTTATATCGCGGTGCGACTCTTTATGAATGGAGGGCGCGAAAACTCGGATGAGTCTCTCAATCAGGTTCGCGCTGTGATTGAATTCTTGGAGAGAAATTCCGCGTGTACCTCTTCAGATAATACCTGACATCAATGTCGACTTGTTAGCTCTCAATGTGTAATTTCAAAAAAGAAAAATGGACTAAATACAAATTAATTCAGAAGATTCATGTTTTACGAATAAATTCCAGTTCCTTGCACTGTATAATAAGAGATACACGAGAATACAATACATGATCATTATAACGACTGTTATCGAGATTCCAGGAAGTTTAATCCGGATTCTCGATAAATTCCCCATGCCTGATCTAATTAAGCTTTCGTTGCACCTCGCGTCATTTATTGCGCAATGCTAATTTTTCATCTTAACGAATAACAGAAATTGTTTGCGATCATTCCTTCGTAGTAGTGGCATAATCATCCTCGCTCATTCATTACTAATTTCACGGGGCACTTAACGTATATAACGCACGCGCACGGCCAGTGCATTTACCTTCTCCCATATGAGAATAGAGAAGAGCATCGAATAGCGGGGAATTCAGATGTAGACACCACCGGATCTGGAATGGTATATCTGCTCATTCATTAAATGCATTAAGTGCGATTTATCAGCAATCAAGAGTATAGAC